ACAGAGTTGATCCAACTCCCTCCCTCTCTCTCTCTCTCTCTCTCTCTCTGTGTGTGTGTAAGCAAAATTGACAAAGAGTCTAGTGGTGCCCAAAAGACAAATGATTTTAATGAAGGCATGAGCTTTCATGCATAGAATCCGTAACATGGCTCCTCTCCCCCCCAAAAAAATATTGTTGAAGGTACCCCCCCCCCACACTTTTTATTCTTCTCTTCCTTAGCCTGTCACTTTCTTCAAAGGTAGCACGGTTCAGCATTCCTCAGAAGGATTTTCTGAGAAATGTGCTGATCACCTTTTTCCCTTGGAGGGCAGGATGTTCAGTGTGAAATGCGCGCACACACACACACACACACACACCGTTCCACCACCCATAAACAGGGCAGAGAATCTGGGCAGGCCATTTTCGCCTAGCCGGGTTGCACTCTGCACATACTCAGCAAACCTCCGTTACTGCACACTTTTGTTAAGAGTCCTCCCCAGCAATCACTCTTCATCCCGTGTGTTGCCTTTAAAATACAACAAGCACTTAGCTATCCTGCTCCAGTCTCTGCTTAGGAGTGCATGGGTGGTGCAGGAGCTGTGGCTTTGGCCAAAAGAGCAAAGGCCTCTGTAGGGTGGGGGCTGCCATGTGGATGCACCCTAAGAAACGCTCCGTAGCAGGCTAACGGCGGAGGACACAAGGACTGCTCTGTGCAACTGAGTGCAGAACAAAGAATGGGTTTGTGCGACCGTCACACCCCAAAGCACATGACCGATACCTGTGATACTGAGACAGGTGCAAGATACTTGGCCCATTGCCACCCTCTCTGTGCATGCCGCTTCAGTTTAACTCTTTCCTGGGCCCAGCAAGTCCTTCTAGGAAGAGCTAGGTGGTGCTGGCTGAGGGTTAGGCGATAGTGCAGGCTACAGTGCGAGGAGGAGAAAGACATCCAGCCCCCATTCTGCCCCGCCTCACCGGATAAATACGGCACTGCCTTCTTTCCATAACCCAAAACACAACATGCTGTGGCTTACCCTGCCAGGTTGTTATTAAGAACAGAAGAGCCCTGCTGGCCCATCAAATCTAGCATCCACCAGATGCCTCTTCTGGATCCGAGCATAAGAACACTCTCCCACGGTGGTTTCCAGCAACTGGCATTCAGAAGCACACAATGAAGGTGGAACATAGCCATTGTGGTTATTCTCTGTGCCGTGGATGATTTTCCTGGTTTTGCAGTGAGTCAGATAGAAAAGGGGGGGGGGAGAACGGGGGGAGAGATTTAGCCAGTTACCACCAGCACACCTTGTCACTGGTTATGCAGTTCTCTTGTGCATAAAGTTGTCAGTGTGATGCAATGCCCACTAGCTATATCTCAGCTTGACCTACCTCCCACTGTTGTAAAGCTGGGGTGTGGTGGTGGGAAGAACATGTATGGTCCCTGCGCTTCTTGGATGAAACATGGGATAAATACATAAGAAATTACATGTGGCAGGCATTACGCAGTGGTTTGGGACAGGCACCCGGTGCATGCTCAGAGGCAAACTCATTGCTCTTCATATGCCACAATGTTTCTCATAGATGAGTCTTGGCAGAAATTAAGTCCTGGGAAGGGGAGTGGCAGAGTTTTGCTCTGAGTTCGTAGTTGGATGGAACCAAATGGCAATTCAACCAGTCCACTACTGCTCCACCCAATCCAAAGGCAAGACACTCATAACCAGCCCACACATATCCATGTGGTCCCAACCCCCAGAGTGTACAAGAAGTTGTTGCACCACAACATAGCTCCAGGTGACTTAAGGAAGTGAGCCAAGCAACGTTGTGAACGGGAAGATAAAAACATCCCTGACGGATCGGGCCACAGAGGTCTCTCTGGTCCAGCAGCAGCCAAATACCTCTTGGGAGCTCACAAGTGATGAAAATGCCCATTGATTGCTCCTGTCATCTGCCCTGCTTCTTCTTCTGCACATGCAGGCTGCATTTTGCTTTCCCATCAGCTTCGGCTCATGGCCTAGCTGTGCCCCTATCTGGACAGGGATAGCCTAACTTCCATCGTGCATGCTCTGGCAATTTACAGGTTAGATTACTACAATGTGTTATATGAGGGGCTGCCTCTGAAGATGGTGCCACATTCAGCAGCCAGGTTGCTCTCCAGGGTAAAAGGGTTTGAGCATATAATGCCAATCCTGGCCTGGCTGCACTGGCTGCCAATTACTTTCCAAGCCCAATTCAAAGTGAAGGTTTTGACCAATGAAACCTTAAACGGTTCAGGACAGCAGTATGTTAAGGACTGCCTTTCCCCCTAAGGACCAACCCGGACCCTGTGATCATCATCTGAGGCCCTTCTTTGTGCGCCTCCTTTGTGGCAACATGAGACTGGGCCTTTTCTGCATAAGTCTTTTTAACAGGAACACAGGAAGCTGCCTCATACTGAGTCAGGCCATTGGTCCATTTAGCTCAGCATTACCTATGCACTGACTGGCAGCAGCTTTCCGGGATTTGAGGCAGGGAGTGTTTCCCAGACCTAGCAAGCGATGCTGTTGAGGACTGAACTTGCGACCTTCTGCCTATAAAGCAGATGCTCTATAGGTAAGCTACAATCTCACTGTCATCAATTTTGCTTGGTATTGTCTACACTGGCTGGCAGCAGCTCTTTAGGGTTTCAGGCAAGGGGACATTCCCAGTACTACTTGGAGATGCTGGGGACTAAACCTCCTTCTGCATCCAAAGCAGATGCTCTACCAGTCTGGTAGCACTCTGACTTTCCTCCCTGAGGAGCCAAAGCTGGTCTCTCTTTCCACAAGTGTGGCCGTGTTGACACTTCTTCTGAGCTTACAGGAGGTTCAGGACAGGAAGCACTTTCTGTTCTACTTTTTTTCTTTTTCTTTTTAAAATGTTTTTATTAGCAATTTCAACATAACAAAATATCAAAACATATCATGTTCATTATTCCCCTTTTTTCCCACCTCCCCATCAAACCCCCCTCCCTCCAGAGACTTCCCTCAGCTCCTCTCTCTGATTTCTCAACATATATTATTCTCTGCATATTATAAAATTGTATAAATCCTTATATTATCTGTCTACCATATTATCAACCAATAAATTTGTGTATGTTTATTCAAAGCCTTCCAAGGAGTCTAATTCATTTTGTTGTCTTTTTAAATAATTTGTAAAAAGGTCCCATTCTTCTTTGAAGTCACAGTTGTCCTTATCTCGCAATTTATATGTCAGTTTAGCCAGTTCTGCATAGTTCATCAATTTCTCTTGCCACTGTTCTTTTGTTGGGGTTTCTTCATTCTTCCATCCTTGTGCTATCAAGACTCTTGCCACGGTTATAGCATACATAAATAAGTTCTTTGTTTTCCTTGGCAGGTCTTGTCCTACAATCCCTAACAAAAATGCTTCTGTTTTTTTTACAAATGTCATTTTAAGTGTTCTACTTTTTTCTGATTTGGCTACCATCTACAAAATAAAACAAAACAGAGAAAAGCTGAGTGGTGGCACGTCATCTTGCTTGGAAATTGCTTCATTCCATCAGACAGTTTTGGGAAATGATTTACAATGAGCTTAAGAAAATGTTCAAATGCTCTTTCCCTAAAAAGCCTGAAGCCTTCCTGCTAAGAATTATGGGTAACGAAATTCCAAAAGAGTTCAGGAAAGTCTTTATGTATGTTACAGTTGCTGCCAGAATTGTAATTGCAAAAGGATGGAAGGGAGAGGATATCCCATCTAAATTAGACTGGCAACATAAATTAAGAGAGTACACTGAACTGGCAAGACTATCAGCAAGGTTACAAGATGTTACAGATGAAAAATTTATCAGAGAGTGGGACGCATACAGAGTTTATCTAAAAGAACATTGTCAAAATATCAATCCGTTGGCAGGTTTTGATTGAACTTCTGTGTGTAAATAGGATAATTTTATAAAATTTAAAGTAAGTTGAACAACATGGTGAAAATAAAGTTAAGTGCGTATTCAAGGAATCTAATTTGGGAACATAATGGGAAGGTCGGAGGTCATATCAAATTTAATTACAAAATCATGTACAAAGCAAGTACCAATTAAGGAATGAATGACTGTTTATTTTTTATTTTGTCTTTAACATCTATTGATCATTTTTGTTATACAGTTTACAATCAATAAAGCATTTGAAAACTTTTTTTTTTAAAGGAAAATGCTTCATTCCACACAAACCCACTCTCTACACACCCAGATCTGTGGGCTGCTGCTTCTCAGTACTGTTTGAACAGCACTTTGTACATGCTTGGTTGCACTGCTTGTCATAACATCCTAGGTTCGGTCCTGTATGTGGAGGAAAAGTGGAGGCTGAAAGAGATTGAAAGAGGGGTAATAGGATGGCAAAGACCCTGGTATCCAGATCTGATATTTTCCTACACCCCTGCAAATCCTCTGGAGAGCTCTTTTGTTCTTTCCTTTGGAAAGGAAGAGCGTGAACTGCTTTAAATATGAAATTTCCTTGCCATTTCATTCACTACATACTGTATGTGTATGTAGATGTATGCACGTATATATATTAGGACCCACCCTATTTTTGTAATTTTGTTTTAAGCTGCTTTTAATATTGTGCAATATTGTGCTTTAATATTAATTTGTTTTCATTGTTGGAACTTGTCATGGCGTTGGAGTCTTAGGGTAAAACAACAACAACGACAACAACAACTCATATATATCATGGGCTCTGCAAGCTTTTGAATTGTGCAGCACTTTTCACGCATATATGTATAGATAAATGCCAGCTTCTGAACGACGCAGCATTCTTCTATTTTAAACAGAAGAAGAGCGCTGCTCGATTCTGAAAGCTGCTGATCACTCAGTCGCCAAGCTGTATTAGGCGCCCTCGCGCTACTCTCTGTCTCCCCCTGGCGGCGCATGCCCGCATCCCTTCTCGAAGCGAAACTAGGGAGCGGAGCCTCCACACAAAGCTAGAAGAGGCGGGACTGCTGCCTGCCACTCTTCTCTGTAACCGTGGCGACAGGCCGGAAGTGATTCCGTGCCCCCCCTCGCTTATTCGCCGCTGCCCTGTCTCCTTGGTGACCGCTAAACCCGCCCAAGGATGCTCCGCGCTCTCTCCTTCCCGAGTTTCCAGCCCCGCTGGTCCCGGCTCCATCCTTTTCGCCGCCGCCGCACAGGCCCGGCCCGGGAAAGGAAGGGCCTCGCCAGCCACGCCGTGACGTAAGCGCTCCGGGAGGGGGAGGTGAAGGCTGAAGGACGCGGCGAGGGGGGAGAGAGCGGCTTTACGTTTCCCGAAATCCTCCGCGGGGGCCTAGCCGCTGCTCGAAGCCTGCATTTACCCGGATGTTGGGACCATAGAGTTGAAAAGCCTAGGTGGGCGCTGCGTGTCTCGTTGGCGCTCAGCTGTGGGCTGTAGGTTCCCGGATGGAGCCACCATTAGAGATGTGTGCACTCCATATTTTTTTTCTGGATAGTCTCTATACAAGGAACTGAAGGACATCGCCCCCTCTTGGGCCGATGGAGGCAAGACACCCGTTTTTCGTGCTTGAGCGCGAACGCACTCAGGGATAGGTATTAAAGGCTTATGCCAGGCACCCCCAAACTCGGCCCTCCAGATGTTTTGGACTACAACTCCCATCATCCCTAGCTAACAGGACCAGTGGTCACGGATGATAGGGAATGTAGTCCCGAAACATCTGGAGGGCCGAGTTTGGGGATGCCTGGCTTAGGAAATTGTGTGTTGCATAGAGAAAGCGGGTGCCGAAGACAGAAGCCCACTTTGCTTAAAATTTGCTTAAAACTACTCCACACTGCCTCCCATGGCAGCGAGTTCCATAGGTTATACGTGCTGCATGAATAAGTCCTTCATTTTTTCTTTCCTGAATCTTCCAGCATTTTGCTTCATTGGATGTCCACGAGTTCTAATGTAATGAGAGAGGGAGAAAAACTATCCATTTCCTCTATGCCATCATGTCACCTCTTACTCACATTTTCTCCAAAATAATAAGTCCCAAATGCTGCAACCTTTTCTCATAGGGGAGTCGCTTCACCCCTTTGATAATCTTGGTTGCCCTTTTCTGAACTAGAAGACGTCAGAATACCCTGCCACAAGTTCAGACAAATTTAAAACATGATTGAGGAGCATCTGTGGCCCTCTTCCAGCTGTTGCTGGGCGGCAGCTCCCAGCAGCCCTGGCAGCCAGTATGGCCAGTGGTCAGGCTTCATGAGAGATGGGGTCCAGCAACATCCGAAGAGCCACAAGTTTAGTCTAGGATGACTAAATTTGCTCTTATCTAAGCAGAGCTCTTTTTAGAGTCCTATACAGTGGTACCTCGGGTTAAGTACTTAATTCCTTCCTGAGGTCCGTACTTAACCTGAAACTGTTCTTAACCTGAAGCACCACTTTAGCTAATGGGGCCTCCTGCTGTTGCTGCGCCGCCGGAGCCCGATTTCTGTTCTCATCCTGAAGCAAAGTTCTTAACCTGAAGCACTATTTCTGGGTTAGCGGAGTCTGTAACCTGAAGCGTATGTAACCTGAGGTACTACTGTACCAATGGTGGAGTTTTTCACCCTGTAGCTGTTTGCTGACACTTGTAGCAAAGTCCGGACATCCCTTTCTTGGAAGGAAGGCCTTGAGGCTTTTTCCTTCACATGATCTCTCTTTCACCTCTGTTTGCAGCCCAGTGCCCGTATCGTATGCTGTGTTTGATGGGCCCTCTCCCGAGCCCCCACTCGTTTTCCTACATGGGCTGTTTGGAAGCAAACTAACTTTGCATCCCTGGCCAAGAAGCTGGTGCTCCAAACTGGCCGCAAGGTGAGTGAGAATTGGTTTTGGGCTACATTGGGGAGGTGATTGCTGCTGGTTTGCGCTTTGGTTTGCATGCAGAAGGCTCTAGGTTCAACCCCTGGCATCACCAGGTAGGGCTGAGAAGGACTCCTGCCTGAAACCCTGGAGACAGTGTTAGAAACAAATATATAAGTTAGGTGCCAAATGGCACCTTAAACCTAAGTTATGGTCTGCACAACAGAATGTCTTGTTCACTAGGGGGTTGAACTAAATGACTCTCATGGTCCCTTCCAAAACTACAATTCTATGATCCCAACTGCATTGCTTGACTATAGCTTGCTCTTACAACAATTCATTTGTCCTGGTATACAAGAAGGAGAAACACACACCATGGAAATGGTATTAGCTATGAACTAAGGCAGAGATTTTTAAACTGGCCACAAACCTGGCACCCAGAAATCTCCTTGTAGTCGCGTTTGGACCCATGCCAGTAGCAAAACGTGCCTGGTGCCTGGAGGATTTTAAACACTGCTTGGAGAACTGCTACCAGTTGATGTGGAATAATACTGAGCTAGAGGAACCATTGCCCTGACTTAGTAGCATCTTTTTGCCACTGGACCGGGCCTGTTTGGGGGTCATTTTTATGTAGCCGGGTAGAAATCCTGGGTGCTCAGAAGCTGCGGGGCCCCCTCAAGATTTCGTATTGCATCATCCAGACCCTATGCATAGCCAACCTTGTGCCAACCCACTGCTGTCCCTCTTCTCCTGCCCAGTTAGGTGCTGACGGTGGATGCCCGTAACCACGGCGACAGCCCCCACAGCCCGCTCATGACGTATGAAGCCATGAGTGCCGACATCCACCTCCTCCTCCGCCAGCTGAACCTCAGCAGGTGTGTCTTGATCGGGCACAGCATGGGCGGCAAGACAGCCATGGTGATGGCGCTGCAGTGGGTAGGTGGAGTCTCTTGGTAGCCCTTCCTGTGTTCTGCTGCTGGATTCCTGCCGTGGGAGTGGGGCGGACAGTGGCTTAAGGAGCAAGCGCATCTCCTGGGCTAACTGGGAACTGGTGGTGGGGATGGTGGGGACCGGTAGCTCAGAGGTGGGGAAGGTGTGGTCCACAGGCATCCCTGCTTGTACCTGCACCTGACACTTTTCTGACCCCTTGGCTCCTTTGTCTTTCCTCTGCACCCCAGCCAGAGTTGGTGGAGCGCCTGGTGTGTGTCGACATCAGTCCTAGCGAGACGACGGCCATTTCAGGCTTTCAGAACTTCATTGCTGCCATGAAGGCGGTGGACATCCCCCGAGGCATCCCTCGTTCCACCGCACGCCGGCTGGCAGAAGAGCAACTGCGCCCAGCCATTCAGGTAATGCCCCACAACCACAACCTCGGAGGTCCAACATCACATGGGCCAGACCCCAAGCCTCGTCGTTCTGACGACTTGGACAGAGAAAGCGAGAAAGCGAGGGCCACCAACCTAGATGAGTTTAAAAGAGGTTTGGACAAATTCATGGAGGAGAGGCGTATCATGGCTACATGATGGCTGTGCTCTGCCTCCACAGTTGGAACAGGGTGGGGTGGCCTTTATGCGATTCTTTGGGGGCTATGGTTTAATTTTGGTGGTGCATCATTTTTTCAATTACATTTTTATATTTTGTTGTTAGACCTTATTATAAATTACAAGGTGGGTGTTTAGCTTTATTTAACTTTTCTTAACAAGAAGTTTTCATTAACTTACTGATTATTTACATTTTGTTAAATTTCCTAACCCGTTAATGAGTCTGCTCTGAGCAAGGCTTAGTTGGGCACAGCTCTAGCTAACTGCATTATATGAACCGTAACTTGAAAGAAAGGGACATGGGTGGCACTGTGGTCTAAACCACAGAGCCTAGGGCTTGCTGATTGGAAGGTCGGCAGCTCGAATCCCCGCGATGCTGTGAGCTCCCGTTGTTCGGTCCCAGCTCCTGCCCACCTAGCAGTTCAAAAGCACATCAAGTGCAAGTAGATAAATAGGTACCACTCCAGCAGGAAAATAAACGGTGTTTCCGTGCGCTGCTCTGGTTTGCCAGAAGTGTCTTAGTCATGCTGGCCACATGACCCAGAAGCTGTCTGTGGACAAACACCGGCTCCCTCGGCCTATAGAGCGAGATGAGCGTGCAACCCACGAGTCGTCCGCGACTGGACCTAACGGTCAGGGGTACCTTTACCTTTACCTTTAACTTGAAAGATAGTGCGCTTGAGCTTGCTTTCCCCTCCTCCCTCCCCTTCCTTTATCCTTATGCGCTGTGTCTTTTTCAGTTATGAGCCTAGGGACAAGAACTGTCTTAGTAATTTATTTTGTTAGTAGCTCTGAGAGTTCTTTTTAACAGAACACCATAGATAAAAAATAGTTCAGTGATGGACAGCAATTCTCCAGGGTTTCAGGCAGGAACATACCCAGTCCTACTGGTAGATGCTGAAGATTGAACCAGGGCCCTTCTGTGTGCAAGGCAGTCACTCTACCACTGAGCTACGGCCATTCCTCTGGCATACCTCGGGGGTTGGGGCAGGGGTTTCTGGGGCACAGTCAAATGGGGACTTGCAAATCCCAACCCCAGATTCCATGTTTACAAGGTCAGCACACAGTGCCTGTTGCTGGATCCTGTGTTTCCCCATTAGCCCCTTCCATCTTTTTGCTCAGGAGCCAACCATCCGCCAGTTTCTGCTCACCAACCTGGTGTACGTCGAGGACCGGTTTGTGTGGCGCGTGAACTTGGATGCCATTTCCCAGCACCTGGGCGAACTGATGGGCTTCCCTCCTTTCCAGGTGGACTACCCAGGGCTTACTCTCTTTCTCGGGGGCTCCAAGTCCGGCTATATCAGGTGAGCTGTCGCCAGCAGAGGGGTCTGCACCATCTCCTGCGCAAACCCTTTGGAGAGTCGAAGGGTCCCTGCTGTGTCCCCTTCTCAGTGTAACATGAAGCAAAATCTGATACCCAAACTGGCTTGTTTCCTTTTCCCATCCCTCTGGCTGAGCTTTGCTTTCCCTCCCCTTCTCTGCAGCTCTGACGACTACCCTGAGATCGACCGGCTTTTCCCGGAGGCAGAGATCCAGTACGTCCCTGACGCTGGACACTGGGTTCACGCGGATCAGCCCCAAGAATTCATTGCTGCCATTTGCAACTTCCTTCGCTTTCTTCCACTGTAGTTTTCAGCCGGCCTCCCAGAACAGGAAAGACAAGGAGGTCCCTCTCCTGACGCTAGTCAGGATACCCCTCCTTCTTTTTTGCCAACTTTACTCCTGTGAACGGCTCCCGTTCTCCAGAACTGGCTTCCCCAACTCAAGACTGGCACGTGCTCTTTGTTAAGAGCCCTCCTGCCCCCCCCCAGGAGGCCTGCATAGCTGCCATGTGGGAATCCTGCAAATATAACCCCACCAGTGGCTGGGATGCCACTTAACTCCATGGGGCTCCTTCACTGTACAGTATTTAATATTAAATAAAACGGCGTTTCATTTTAAATGGATGATCTTTGACCCTCCAGAGAGCCAGGAGAGAAAGAAACAGTCAACAAGGCATCTGATCCAGAGAGGAGAGGGAGCTTGGTGAGTGCTAGTGTAGGGCAATAATATTGGTTTATCGTCCCAAACTGGTTTGAGGTCCATATTGTGATAACAGTTTTGTAATTTCTGACCTGGCAATATATGGCAAACCATGTGTGTGTGTGTGTGTGTGTGTACTATGCAAAAATCACAATGTAGGAAACAAACCATGAAGCCAGCCAACGCCTCTACATAGCTCCATCCTTATTTGAGACATCGTGATATATCGGTATGTTGCTTTTTCCTTGCTTTAATGTGTCCTTGGTGATGCCTCTTGTTTGCTTGGGCGGAGGAGGGAAAGGGGTCTGAGTGTGCAGAAGCCTCTTGACTTCTGCATGGCTGGAATGCATCCTGTTCTACAAAGGTAGGCTCCACACCTATTGTTCCATGCGCTCTGCCCCCTGCCAGATGGTTGCCCATTAAATAATGTGGCCCCCATCAAGATGAATGAGCTTGTAATAGAAGTAGGAGAGAGAAGTGGAGGTTACAGATAGGCATTTATTTCTGTTCCATGGACATTGGCCGAGTTACAGGAGGAGATGGGCACCCACCCAGCAGAAAAGGCGGCGGGTTCTTTCGAAGGAAAAGGGGTGGTGTGACTGTGGAGGAGTTCAAAGGCGAGGTAAAGCGAAGCTGCCTCCAGACTGCTGCTGAACATGATCCCCTGTTCACAGCGGTAGTCAGGGCCAACGATCGCCACAGAGGACGCTGGCAGAAGAGAGAAAAGGAAAAGGAATCTAGAAATGCCTCTCTTACCTGCCACAGTCTCTTCCCCACATTAATACCGAAGGCGCAACGTCTTACTCAAGTGACCTTGAGGGTTCTACAACCCTTTATGGCACTGGCAGCTGTGAGGAGCCTCTGCCCCTCCAGATGTTGCTGCAGGCAACCCCTGTCAACCTGGGCCATTGGCCCCGCTTGCTGGGGCTGGTGGGAGTTTTTGTTCAGCAACATCTGGAGGGCCAAAGGTCCTGCATAGCTGCTGTTACAAGGACAACAAACCTGTATACCCCATGTTGGGTGCCTTTGTGGTAGAGGAGAAATTGGAGCAGAAGGCTTCCAGATTCGTCACTCAGAAAACTTAAAAGTCCTATTACCAGCAGATGGTAATGAGAGGTTTCCTACCTCTGGGAATGGAGGGATGCCCGCCCCTTTTCCATCCCCCTTTTTATCGTTTTAAAAACCTTTTTCAAGCTCATAAAACTGAATGTGCACAAGTTAAATGTGTGAAAGTTGTGGGCTTACTGTATTCCAAAAGGATCAAGACATTCCTCACATCCATGCTCTTGTTTCTGCACGGGATGGACTGGATACACAGAATATGCCTTTGGTAGCTGGTTCACTTTTAGTGTCCACTTTCCTGTAAAAATGCCCAGTTGCAGCCAGAGTCTGAAGTGACAGGAAAAGAGTCTTTAGCAAGGTGTGCTGGGAAGTGGGGGAGATGCCTTGGACTCCAGGGCTGCACTGCTGCGGGGGACAAGCCCCACCTGAAATGACCATGCTGCAAGATCTGGACTCCCTCCATGCAGACTGAAGATGTAAATAGGTGAATAAACCATACACACACACACACCCCAAAATCGTCACTGGGTTTAGCTAGAAAAACACTTCTCATTCTCCCTGGCTGGCTCTATGATTCTGTGACAGACTCACCCTTTGAAAGGATAGTTTATGGAGACATTAGATGGGTTTAGCTGCAAATGGGTAAATTCCTTGCTATCACATTGCACAATGTTTTGTGTGAGTGCAGATTTGGCAGAGAGGAATTCCCTCTTTCACAATCTACCTTTCCTGTCAAAATGCTTTCAACATAAATGAAGCAAGAATGAACCTTTGGGGTTCATACCTATTAAGACATAACATGGGCAAGACTCTGCCCATTCTCCCTTGCCGGTTCTGAGGAACCTTGGAGAAGATAATGTGCTACACTTTTCTTACTGCTTAAGGAAGAGTGTGTAAAACATCAAATAACTTAAAGCCCCGCCCCACAAAATCAATCACATGATGCGGCACAAGCATGACATTTGAATGGCAATGCCCAGCAACTTGGGGTGGTGTTCAAATATTTTTTTTGGGGGGGGGCGAAGGGACCTCAGCCCCAGGAGCTGGTTCCTATGCTTCAGTCACTGGCTTTCACGGCATCTCCTCCACCAGGCGGCAGCCGCTCGTCTGGGCCAGTCCCTTCCCCGCCCCTTGATAGCAGGACTTTGTTTTACTTTCACAATCGCGGTCAGAAAAAGGTGAGGTTCCTTCTCGCAGAGGCGCTGCCCCACGTGTTGGTTGAACCTTGAGGGGCCATGGCGGGTAAGATCGCGCAAACTTTCCCCCTCTTTCCTTCTGCTAAAAGGGGCGATCGGTCACTACGGAAGGAGGCAGCGTGGGGACCAGGCTGACTGCGCTTTGTCTTCCCCTCCCTCCCTCGGCATCCTCCAAAAGATGCTCACAGCAGGAAGGAATCTTGATCCGCTTGATCCCTTCCTTTCCATTTCTGGCGAACGGCGGCGTTGCTCTCAGCCTGGACTGACAGCGCTCTCTCCCTCCTTCCCTCCCTCCCTCCCTCCTCATTTTCTGTCTCTCTTTGTGTGTGTTAACGTTAACCTCCTCTTCCTTGTGCACCTTGCCCCGTGTTCCTGAAACACGTTGAGGGCGATGCTCTGCTAGGAAGGGACAGAAGCGTCACACGTGTCATTTTCTTCACTTTCTCTTTTCTCCAGTCTTGGCTCACCCCATTTCCCCATACATTTTGCAAGTCAAAGCAAAAACGGGAAAAGCCTCTGCATGAAAGTGCATTTCAGTTCACTTTCCCCCCTAATATTTTCTGGGGTGTTGCAGCTGGCCAGGGTGGGCCATACTGAACTGGCTGGACCAGCGGTCTGACTCAGTATAATGCAGCCAACTTTTAAAATCAGCCGTTGATGTAGAGTCATAAGCAGGGGCATAGTGGGAGGGGGCAGGCGGGCTGTATCCCTGATAGCATGGTTTTTTGGGGGGGCACAAACCAGCCCCCCCAAGTAGGGATTCCACCCTGCCTGCTGCCAGGGGTCTCTGGGCCCTGGAGCCTGGCTTGGCCTTGCCACTGCATCCTGTGTCCCCTCACTGAATGGCCACCCAACCAGCATTGGTGGGAGGATACACCCACCAAGGGCTGCATCAGCCAGCCGGTTCAGCCCATATGCAGGCAGGCAGGCAGCGCAAAATGGCCCCATGAACCTTCTGTGCCCCAAGCCTGCCCAGTGGCTGCGAGAGTTAGCCTGGCATGGTGGTTTACCCTGGGGAGCTGCTGGCGGTCAGTGTAGACAGTACTGAGCTAGAGGGCCCTATGGGTCTCGCTTTGTACAAGGCAACTTCCTACGTTCCTGCACCTCGGGCCAATTTTGGTGACCTGATTTTCCTTGCAGATGAGAAGCTGAAGGAAATCCGCTCAGAGTTTGTGGCCTGTGCTAACAAGTCTCTCATCAGCCAGCTCCTAGATAGGCTTCTCCAGAAAGGAGTCCTGAACGAGGAGGAGGCGGATGAGGTGAAGGTCGAAAAGAAGAAGCAGGACCAGGCAAGGATCTTGATTGACCACGTGAGGTGGAAGGGGCACAAAGCAAGCAAAAACTTCATCGAGGCCCTCTGGTGCCAAGACAGCTTCTTGGCTGAAAAACTGTTTCAAGTCCCTCCGCCAGGTGCTTATTTAAATAACCAGTTTAGCAGTTCATAGAATTGTAGAGTTGGAAGGGACCCTGAGGGTCATCTAGTCCAACCCCCTGCAATGGAGGAATCTTTTTGCCCACAGACATCCCTGGGTGGGCTTGAACCACCAACCTCCTGGTTAACAACCAGACGCGTGAACCAACTGTGTCACGGATTTCTCTCCTTGGATTGTTTATGCAGATATTTAAATTTTAAGAACTACAGTCCAGCTAAATTCAATTTAAATGCATTGTTTAAACCAGTGGTTCCCAAACTGGGTGGTGGCGCCCCCTGGAGGGAGAGAGGATTACGCAGGGGGGCAATAAGAGACAAGGGGGCAGCGGGGGGGGCGGGGGACTAACAGACTTTGAAAAGGATCAACCGGGTCACGTTTACCCATTTTGTTGAATTAATTAAATAGCTTTAATTGGATTTTGAATAAATGCGCAATTGGTGGTTACTGTTTGGCATTTTATTGCATTATTATCTAGTGGGTCATGTAAACTGATGTCCTGCATAATGCTTTTCATAGGGTAGGAGGCATTGGGGATGAGTGTATGGAACTAAGGGGGGGGGTCCAAAACATTTGGGAGTCACTGTTTAAATAATAAATAATGTTGACCTGATTTATTGATTTGATGATGACATTTATACCTGACCCTTGAAGTCCAAAAGGCTCCTGGAGTCGCTTTCAAGGTCCCAATTGAAAAAGGCATGATGCATGAGGAAAACGAGAGGAGGAGGGAGGAGGGGAAGAGCAACCTCACGCACAAGTTCATAAACTTGCAGTTCATGCAGCTGGTGTCACTGGCAGTTCTGGTTCTCTTGCCTTGGATAAAGGCCAGACATTCCCCCTTACAGTGTATTTGCCCAGTCACCCTCAAGTCCCATCTGTGCCCCAATTTTCTTAATGAGTCTGGCCAGTTTTGGGGTGGGGGAAACCGATGATCAGTGTGGAAAGGAAACCTCAGCACAAGTGACATTTCCTTGTGGTCTTTTCTGTATAGCTGCTCGCTCTTAGGAATGCACCTCTACCTGTTGAACTATCGAGTCCCAGTCACACAAAATGCAGCCGTCTTCCCTATTTCAGTTGCTTGTGACACATCGTTTCATCCTATAGGTACTCCCTTTTATCCCCCCCCCCAGATGGGAGGCAGGAAGCAGCTCTGCATTCCCCACCCCCCCAAAAAAAAACCTCTCTAGCGTCACTGACAGGAAGAGGCTCCATCTGAGTCTTTGGTAGAAAATAAACCTTGGGAAATCAGCCTGGTGTTTAAGAGTGGGGGGTGGTGGTACTCTGACTGGACGTAAAAATGCTTGCTATTTTTCTCCGTGCATGCGCGCGCATTTGCGCGCGCACCCGCGCACACACACACACACACGTTTGGAACAAAAAACCAGGCAATGTCACACCAAAAATCGTGTTGTGGTCCACCATCTTGATCCAAACGTTTACAAAGACCACCTAGCTCCCACCTCAGGAGCTCTGATGTAGAGTTTGATGGCAATATCTTGAGAGGGGGCCAAATCCATAGAGAACAGATGGCCAAATAGACAAGCCACTTAAAAATGTATATAGTAGATTATTATTATTATCACTATTACTATAATCTATATTATTATAATTACTATTGCATTCTGTTCTCCTTCCAAAAGGAGCCAAATGATGTAACCAAATTCAGAATATTTACAGATACTTTCTGTGATCCTCAACAGCATCTAAAGGTTTAACCCGGTACCCAAATTTCTCTTGTCCCCAGGGCAACAGGCTCATTTGCCACACCAGGAAGTTGGCCCAAGGGCTGCCGCCTCAGCAAAAGCAGCCCAGCTGCAGGAGACCAGCGATGAGCTCAAGCTTTGCTCCCTGGACCTCTTTCAGAAAATACAAGCTGAGGAAAAGGATGAGGTGAGGAAGGACCAAGTGCGCAGTCACAATGAGGTGTGGGCAGACCTGGCTAAATCCAGGTGCCATTTCACTCCCTGCACTCTTGCTGAAGGTGAGGGTTGTGGGTTGGGGGACTCAGGCCAGAGAGTTGAATGCGGCCCTCGAGGCCTCAGACTCTCCCCAGGCCCCTCCTCTCACCAGCCCTGCTCTGTGCCCCTCTTGAGTGCTTTGGCCTAGCTAGAAGTGTGATAAGGCTCCTTAACCCAGATTTCAGTGAGCCTGACTTTTCTTCCCTGGCAGATCTACCCGATCAAGGACAAAGAGACACGCACCCGACTGGCCTTGGTCATCTGCAACATTGATTTTGAGCACTGTAGCAAAAGGGAAGGAGCTGAGGTGGATCTGGCCCAGATGAAGCTTCTCCTGGAAGGACTGGGATACAGAGTGGAAACCGAGACCAACTTATGCTCACAAGTAGGTGGTTGTGGTGGTGGGGAGTTTTCCAAGGCGCTTTCAGTTTCCATCCTCCAAAAAGCCTGTTAACCTTCTCTTTACCCCAGAGGCCTCTTCCCTTTAAATCTTTAGGTTTCATTTCCCTTTAGCCATCAAACTTCCTTCCTGGAAACTCCCTGAAATTCCTGCTCAAAACAGCCTCCAAAACAGAAGCCAGACATTTTATAACAACCAAATAGCACAGCAGTTTCGTTCCTACACACAGAGACACAAAACCCTGAGGCCTGACGGAGTCAGAAACCTTGTGGTGATACGCAGAGCAGCCAGAACTGAGATGCAGAAAAAGCTTTGTAATACAGTGGAACCTTGGTTTTCAAGTGTTTCGGAACCCGAATGCTGAAAACCCAGAAGTGATTCCTTCTGTTTTCGAATGTGCCTCAGAAGTCGAATGGCTTCCGAGGTGTGTTTCTCCATGTTTTCAATGGATTTTGCCGACCGCCCATTGATCCTCAGTTTTCGAACATTTCGGAAGTTGAACAGTCTTCCGGAATGGATTACGTTTGAAAACCAAGGTTCCACTGTATATATTCTATTAATATTCTAGTATGTCACAGAGCTGGAAAGTACCTTAGATACAACTCAGTCCAACCCCCTGTTCAATGCAGGATAAACATAGTAGAATAAGCACATTAGGTTCCCTGTGCTTAAATCCTGGCAGTGCGGTGTAGTGGTTAGAGTGTTGGACCTGGGGGAGAACCAGGGTTCAAATCCCCATTTGGCCTTGTAGCTCACTGGGTGACCTTAGGGGTCAGTCACTGCTTCTCAGCCTAATCTGCCTCACAGGGTTGTTGTGAGGATAAAATGGGGGCATGTGTGCCGCTTTGAACTCCTTGGAGGAAAGGGGGGGGAGAGAGATATCGAAAACATACAACTAAATAAAGGAATAAATTTTCAATCCCACCTTTACTTCAGACATAAGGCAGGGATGATCAGTGTGGCGCATTAAAGATATTATCTCACTCCCAACTGCTGAGAGTTGGAGCCAAGCAAATCTGCAAGGCAGCCTTGGTCACTTCCCTGGACATGGGGGGGGGTGTTTCGGGGAGTAGAAGCTGTTACGGAAAAGGAGCAATGTGGCAGCGAGCTGCAGCTGGCTGGAAAGCAAAACAGGAAGGGAATGTTGGGACTGTACCGTGGGAACAAAGGGACAGTCTATTCACAATGCTGAGCACCGGATTTAGCTCAGAGTGTAATTTGACCTGTACAGGAAGTACAGGATACAGATAGGTAGCCGTGTTGGTCTGCCATAGTCAAAATAAAAAAATTCCTTCCAGTAGCACCTTAAAGACCAACTAAGTTAGTTCTTGGTATGAGCTAAAATAGACTGGAAAGAGAAGCTGCTGAATTGCAACTCATTACCAAACTTAGAACCATGGAGAGACCTGGTTTGAACAAAGACATTGGATTCTTATCCCATTATACATGACTAAGCCATTTCTCACCTTCTCACCCCTTGCCTTTTCCTGTAAGACCTATTACAGTCGTTAAGAGTCGCCAACAGGCTCATCTCAGCTATCTGCCAATCTCCCATTCCCACCACCCTTCTGAGTAATACCCCTCCCCACCTTCTCACTATATAGAAGGATCTGGCAACTTCTGTTTCAGTGTATCTGAAGAAGTGTGCATCCACACGAAAGCTCATACCAAGGACTAACTTAGTTGGTCTTTAAGGTGCTACTGGAAGGAAGTACAGGAGGTGGAGTTTGTCTCTCTGCTGTTGGAGTTTGAAGAGAGCAGACGCATTTCTCTGTAACGCTGCAAAGACAGAAATAAAGGCATGTAAATACATTTCTGTCTATCTCTTTCCCCTCCCTGGGGGGAGCAGGGAGCAGGGAAGAGTGGTGTGTCCTTCTCACGCTGAGGAGGATCGCCGATCGTGACCTAGCCTGTATCCTGCTCGGGAATGCAGACAGGGAGGTCAACAGGAGATCGAGCCGGGTGCCTGGAGAGTGGAGTGGAGAGTTTCTCCTGATAAGGCTTGATTTCCCTTTTAGCTAAGCAAACTGCCCTTTTGCTGATGACCCAACACCCCCTTCTCTCTGCTTGCAGGACATGGCCACGTGCTTAAAGAGCTTCGCAGCCCAGGAGGAACACAAGACCTCCGACAGCACCTTTGTGGTGCTCATGTCTCACGGCCTCCGGGAAGGCCTGTGTGGGGTGAAGAATGAGGACTCATGTCCAGATATCCTCTCCGTGGACACTGTCTTCTCCACCTTCAACAACAAGAACTGCCCGGCTCTGAGGGGGAAGCCCAAGGTCATCATCATCCAGGCCTGCCGTGGCGGTAGGTGGTGGGTATTGAACCCAGGATTCCCTCCGCCTGCCTGGGATGTAGCGCAAGGTTAAGCAGGAAGTAGTGGTTGTCTTTGGGACTGGTTGGGTGGAAGGTAGGGAGCCCAACAGTAGGGGGAGCCAGAGGCAATAATGAGCAGAGCCAATCCCTGATTGGCGGCCAGGAGGAAGGTGGTTGGCTGAGGGCAGACTGGGGTTGATGGGACAGCAGCATGTTTTCTGTAGCAGACCAATTCTGTTGGGGGGCGTTGGCTGTTTTATTGGGTCCTGGTCAACAGGATCGAAAGAATTGCCCCTGAATTAGTCAGTTTCTGTTTCCACATGCGGTAATGTGGGGAGTGGGGGCCTGTATTAACTGGATTTAATTAATTTCTAGAATAAATAGCACCATTTCAGGAAAATTAATGTAAGGAAGCCATTCTGAATCTCCCCTCCCCTCCTGTAATAGGGAAGAGTAGATGGATTCCGGGGCAATTCCTCACATGTCTCTCTGGTCTCACTGAATGGTTGCCAATAAAAGGCGCAAAACCAGCAAGCAGGAAGCTTTTTATTAAAGGCACAGCAGCCCTTCAGGACCTTAGCAGTGCTCCACGCTGCACAAGCCAACCCCGCAATTGCATTCTGTCACAAATAAACTGCTGACAGGGCTGGTCTGCCCATGAGGCAAGATGAGATGGCTGCCTTGGGTGGCAGGATCCACAGGGACAGCTGATCCGGCCTCCAGGGAATGTATCATCCGCTGCTGCTGTCGCAGTGCCAAGCACAATTGCAGCAGGCTCCTTGGAGACTGGGTCTGCCCCCTTCCTTGGCAACACTTCCCATGCCGCCTCCACAGCAGCCTTTTGGTGAATAGGAGGCACTGCGGTTCTCCTCCCGCTTGATGTTCCTGACGTAGATCTTCACTCCGCCCCTTTTTTTTCCTGGTGGGGAGAGCACCGTTTTGTGGTTCGCCTCAGAGGACCAGGTGTGGAAAGAAGTCGGGGTGTGGTCAGAACATGGAAAACACTGGGAGATGACCTCAGGATTCCCTTATGAAATTTGAGCAACAGGTGATGATGATTCCAGAAAAGAGGGGTACTGTAGAGTCCTGACAGAGGCTCTTTCCTTTTGTTTCCCCAGTGAATAATGGATTTGCATTTGTGAGCGACTCAGCAACACCTTCAGCCGCCCCCCTCAGCCCTGTCCAATGGCAGGAAGAAGACTTTGAGAGCGATGCCATTCACAAAGTACACGTGGAAAGCGACTTCATCTGCTTCTATTCCACAACCCCAGGCAAGCAGCTCTTGTGGTCTTGTTTTTTAGTTTCATAAATACACTGCTTGATTGAAAAACACCACCACCTCTCACAGAGGTTTACAAAGAATACAAAAAAATACAATTACCAAGAAGAAAAATTAAGAACAATAACTTAAATGCTTTTGAAGAGTTAAAATAACAAATAGACTAAAAACAGATGAAGCCCCGCATCAGCTTACTAAACACCCGGGTAGATTTGTCCAAACAAAAATGTTTTTAGTGGGTGCCGAAAAGAGTACAGTGAAGGCGCCTGCCTGATTATCAAGAGACAGGGAGTTCCAAAGTGGAGGTGCTGCCATACTAAAAGATCAACTTTTTACAAAGGGAAAACAAGTATTATGTAGCACTTCTCTAACAGTGCCAGTTCCATCGATCAAAGCAGTGGAGTGGGCAGATAATGGGGTAAGGTGATTTTGTAGGTAAACTGGTCGCAAGTTATCATCTGGCCCTGTTCATTGGCAACTGGATAAGCTGCCCTGGTCAGCCTCAGATGCTGTGTTAGCATTAGCCGCCCAGAGTTGCTGGCTGACAACTCTTAGAAAAATGAGGAACTGAGATAAACCAAGAGTTCAGAGATTCACCTAGCCCTAAGCGTCATACGTTCATGTTTCCTCACCAGATAACGTATCCTGGAGAAGCCCCCAAAATGGATCTCTCTTCATCATACGGCTGATCAAATATATCAAGGAATGTGCCTGGAACTACAACCTGGAAGAGATCTTCAGAAAGGTATGCCCTGCTAAGGCCGTGTCCTGCTCTGACCCCAGGCAAGGCAAAGCTCCCTCTTCAGGGCTCAAGCCGGAGAGCAAAGCTCTGATGTTGCTTCCGCCTTTCTTAATTCTTATTTTTCAGCCAGCCTTAATTAATTCTTATTTAAGGTAAAGGTATCCCTGCCCGTACGGGCCAGTCGTGTCCGACTCTGGGGTTGTGTGTCTATCTTGCTTAAGAGGCCAGGGGCCAGCGCTGTCCGAAGACACTTCCGGGTCACGTGGCCAGCGTGACAAGCTGCATCTGGCGAGCCAGCGCAGCACACAGAAACGCCGTTTACCTTCTGCTAATAAGCGGTCCCTATTTATCTACTTGCACCCGGGGGTGCTTTCAAACTGCTAGGTTGGCAGGTGCTGGGACCGAGCAACGGGAGCGCACCCCGCCGCGGGGATTCGAACCGCCGACCTGACGATCGGCAAGTCCTAGGCGCTGAGGTTTTACCCACAGCACCACCCGCGTCCCCAATTCTTATTTAATGTAAAATAAATAAAGTAGTCTTTTTGCAAGAGTGCATGGAAGTTCTAGGAGCTAGTCCTTTCTCCAGCTGGACAGGGATACTATTTCCCCCCTTTTCATTTCTTAATTATTATTGTTTTGGAGGAATGACCTGCTGTGAACTCTTTCCTCCTCTTCATTGCAGGTCATGCAGTCCTTTGAAAAAAACCCATGCCAGATGCCCTCCAAGGACCGAACCACCCTGACCAAAAAGCTCTACCTTTTCCCGGGGCACTAAAACTTGAGTAAGTGCCTCTGCTCTCCCTCTTCCTAACTGGATTTGCCAGGGGTGTGTGTGTGTGTTGGGGAACAGTGTGAGGGACAGACAAGTCTGGAGGCTTATTAGCCAGTATGGTGTAGTGGTTATAGTGTTTGTTCTGGACCTGGGAGATCCGGGTTCAAATCCCCACTCCACCAAGAAGCTCACTGGGTGACCTTGGGCCAGTTGCTGTCTCTTACTTAGCCTAACCTACCTCTCAGGGTTGTTGTGGGACTAAAATGGGGAGAAGTTTGTATGCCTTGTTGGAACGGTGGGGTATAAATGTAGAACTCCCAGGTCCAGCAACTGGAGGAACGTGTAGCTACGCTCCAAAGAATTAGAGAGCTGGAGCTCTTCTTGGAAGCAACAGAGCACACCGTCTCCACCAAGGAGGAGACAGGGGACTCCCCTGAGAAGGAGGCTAGCTCACCAACACAGGAGCCAGATATATGGAGAAACGTGACTCAAAGAAGTAGGGTTCGCTCTGATTGTTTAGAAATACACAATCGCTTTGAGGTCCTCTCCCCTAACATGGAAGACGAAGAGCAGACTCCATTTGAGGATCTCTCCCTCATTACAGTCGATCAGGTATATGAAGACGAGCAGCAAAGTCAGTCCTCAGGGAATGTGCAGGCGATCTTGGAACGGACAGCTCACGGAAGAACCCCGACCAAACCTAAGAGGAGGCGTGTAGTGGTGATAGGGGATTCCCTACTGAGGGGAACAGAAGCAGTGATCTGTGGGCCTGACAAGATGTCTCGGGAAGTGTGCTGTCTCCCCGGGGCTAAGATCCAAGATGTAACTGAGCGACTGCAAGGAATCATAAAACCCACTGACAAATACCCCTTCCTCTTGGTTCATGTGGGAACCAATGACACGGCAAGCAATAGCCTCCAGAAGATCAAAAGAGACTACGAGGCTCTCGGCAGGAAATTGAAGCAACTAAATGCACAAATTGTCATCTCATCTGTCCTCCCAGTTGAACGACGTGGCCCAGGGAGAGAGGGAAAAATAGTGGAAGTGAACAGCTGGCTTCGCAAATGGTGTAAACAGGAACGGTTTGGATTCTTAGATCACGGACTGCAGTTTCTTGAAGATGGACTTCTGGCAAGCAATGGGCTGCACCTCACAACGGTTGGGAGAAATGTTTTTGCCAAAAATCTCAGAAACCTCATCAGGAGGGCTTTAAACTGACTAATGTGGGGGAGGGAGACAGTGCTCCTGAAGGTAGGAGTCTATCAATTGATGAAGATGATCATCCAAATGTCATAGACCAAATGGAGCAAACAGCACGCAGACCTAGTGGTGGGAGGAAAAAATCCTTAAATAAGAGACACGGGGGAATGATTAATGGACTTCAATGTCTGTACACTAATGCGCAAAGCATGGGAAATAAACAAGATGAGCTTGAGCTCTTGGTACAGCAAACTAAATATGACATAATAGGCATCACTGAAACCTGGTGGGATAAGTCCCACGATTGGAATGTAATAATGGGGGGATACAATCTATTTCAGAGAAACAGACCAGACAAGAAAGGAGGAGGAGTGGCGTTATATGTCAGGGATGTGTATACCTGTGAAGAAATCCAAGATTTAGAACCTCAAAGCCAAAGTGAGAGCATTTGGGTCAAAATTAAGGGAGAGAAGAAGAACAGAGACCTCATTGTGGGAGTTTACTATAGATCCCCAAGCCAAACGGAGGACATAGATGATGCCTTCCTGGAACAGATGGCCAAGCATGCAAAAGGAAGGGAGATAGTAGTAATGGGGGACTTCAATTACCCAGATATTTGTTGGATGTCAAACTCAGCCAAGAGCATAAGGTCAAACAGATTCCTCACTGGCCTTGCAGACAACTTCATTGTCCAGAAAGTGGGAGAAGCAACAAGAGGAACAGCCATTTTAGATCTGGTCCTAACCAATGTTGATGACCTGGTTAGTGGGGTAGAAGTGGAAGGATCATTAGGCGCGAGTGATCATGCTCTTCTGAAGTTTACTATACAGCGGAAAGGAGCAGCCAAGCATACTAGGACTCAATTTCTTGACTTTAAGAAAGCCGACTTCATAAAACTTAGGGAAGTGCTGGGTGAGATCCCATGGACAGTAATACTAAAAGGAAAGGGAGTTCATGATGGCTGGGAGTTTGTTAAGAGGGAGATAGTAAAAGCACAACGTCAGGCAATACCAATGAGACGGAAACATGGAAGGTGCTTAAAGAAGCCAGGGTGGCTATCTAAAGAACTTTTAACTGAGTTAAGATTAAAAAAGGATGTGTACAAAAAATGGAAAAGGGGGGAAACCACCAAAGAGGAATTCAAACAAATAGCCAGCACGTGTAGACACAAAGTCAGAAAAGCTAAAGCACAGAATGAACTCAGGCTTGCTAGAGAGGTTAAAAGCAACAAAAAAGGCTTTTATGGGTATGTTCGTAGCAAAAGGAAGAACAAAGAAACAGTGGGGTCACTCAGAGGAGAAGATGGTGAAATGCAAACAGGGGACACAGAAAGGGCTGAACTCCTCAATGTCTTCTTTGCCTCAGTCTTCTCCGATAAAGAAAACAATGCCCGACCTGAAGAATTTGGAGCAAATGATTCAGCAAAGGAAACACAGCCCAGAATAACTAAGGAGATAGTACAAGAATACTTGGCTAGTTTAGATGTATTCAAGTCTCCAGGGCCAGATGAACTGCATCCAAGAGTATTAAAAGAACTGGCAGATGTGATCTCAGAACCACTGGCAGTCATCTTTGAGAATTCCTGGAGAACAGGCGAAGTCCCGGCAGACTGGAGGAGGGCAAATGTTGTCCCTATTTTCAAAAAGGGGAAAAGAGAGGACCCAAATAATTACCGCCCAGTCAGTCTGACATCAATACCAGGGAAGATTCTGGAGCAGATCATTAAGCAAACAGTCTGTGCGCACCTAGAAAGGAATGCTGTGATCACCAACAGTCAGCATGGATTTCTGAAAAATAAGTCATGTCAGACTAACCTGATCTCGTTTTTTGACAGAATTACAAGCCTGGTAGATGAAGGGAACGCAGTGGATGTAGCCTACCTTGATTTCAGCAAGGCATTTGACAAGGTGCCCCATGATATTCTTGTAAAGAAGCTGGTAAAATGCGGTCTTGACTATGCTACCACTCAGTGGATTTGTAACTGGCTGACTGACCGAACCCAAAGGGTGCTCATCAATGGTTCCTCTTCATCCTGGAGAAGAGTGACTAGTGGGGTGCCACAGGGTTCTGTCTTGGGCCCGGTCTTATTCAACATCTTCATCAATGACTTGGATGATGGACTCAAGGGCATCCTGATCAAATTTGCAGATGACACCAAACTGGGAGGGGTGGCTAACACCCCAGAGGACAGGATCACACTTCAAAACGACCTTGACAGATTAGAGAACTGGGCAAAAGCAAACAAGATGAATTTTAACAGGGAGAAATGTAAAGTATTGCACTTGGGCAAAAAAAATGAGAGGCACAAATACAAGATGGGGGACACCTGGCTAGAGAGCAGTACATGTGAAAAGGATCTAGGAGTCTTGGTTGACCACAAACTTGACATGAGCCAACAGTGTGACGCGGCAGCTAAAAAAGCCAATGCAATTCTGGGCTGCATCAATAGGAGCATAGCATCTAGATCAAGGGAAGTAATAGTGCCACTGTATTCTGCTCTGGTCAGACCTCACCTGGAGTACTGTGTCCAGTTCTGGGCACCACAATTCAAGAAGGACACTGACAAACTGGAATGTGTCCAGAGGAGGGCAACCAAAATGGTCAAAGGCCTGGAAACGATGTCTTATGAGGAACGGCTAAGGGAGCTGGGCATGTTTAGCCTGGAGAAGAGGAGGTTAAGGGGTGATATGATAGCCATGTTCAAATATATAAAAGGATGTCACATAGAGGAGGGAGAAAGGTTGTTTTCTGCTGCTCCAGACAAGCGTACACGGAGCAATGGATTCAAACTACAAGAAAGAAGATTCCACCTAAACATTAGGAAGAACTTCCTGACAGTAAGAGCTGTTCGACAGTGGAATTTGCTGCCAAGGAGTGTGGTGGAGTCTCCTTCTTTGGAGGTCTTTAAGCAGAGGCTTGACAACCATATGTCAGGAGTGCTCTGATGGTGTTTCCTGCTTGGCAGGGGGTTGGACTCGATGGCCCTTGTGGTCTCTTCCAACTCTATGATTCTATGATTCTATGATTCTATGAACTGAATAAAACCAAGTAAGAAACATTTCTGTAGTGTAGGGAAGAGGCAAAGGCTGTCTTCCTGACCCTATTTACCTAGGAGCAAGACTCACTGTATTAAAAAGGATTAACATCTGAGTGGGCCTGGTTAGGATTGTGTGGTGCGCTACATAGCAGGGGGTCCCCAGTTCCAATCTCTGCCCTGACATCATTTGGTATATTTAGCCAAGCCCCCCTATCTCTGTCTCAGGAGTCCCCATGGGAGGATATAACACTGGCCTACTTTGCAGGGTTGTTGTAACCACACAGGGCTGCTGAGCACCTGGAATCACCTGACAAATGTTGAGCCTTCTGTATTATTGTGGAGAATGGCTGCAGAACATCAGGAGGCGTTCCTCAATTTCCTTTTCTTCTCTCTCCTGCAGGCGAAGGGGTAGCATTCTGAACTGAGTCCCTCCCGGCTGCTGTGGACAATCATATACAGTGGAACCTCGGTTTTCGAACGTAATCCGTTCCGGAAATCCGTTTGACTTCTGAAATGTTCAAAAACCAAGGATCAAAGGGCTGTCAGCAAGTTCAGTGGGGAAAATTGAAAAATGCGTCTCAGAAGCTGTTTGACTTCTGAGGAGCGTTTGAAAATGGAAGTGTTAGAGGTATCGGGTGGTTGCTCGAGAGCAATCAGGCAATATGCCTCAACAGTCTGTTCTAAAGCTTTCTTATTTGTAGTAAAAACCTTTAGAATGGAAGAGCACCTCTATTCCATGTCTTGCTCATTCACTGGCAGAATCTGAGCGTGGGCGGTCCTTAAATCTTCCCCAGCAGAGTAGTTTCTTGACCCCCAGTCTGCACCTCCCCTCTCTGCACGGAAGCTTACTGTGCAAGGAAGCCTGGGTAAAGGGGGACCTCTCTCCTCCCCGCTTTGCTCAGGCAAGGTGTCCTGGCACCGCCTTGCATCCTCCGAGCCCTGCATCTCCTCCCCACTAGAGGCGTGGCTTCCTTCCTCCACTGAGGAAGTGCTGCTTCCCACGATCGTTGGGGGCTCTCTGTAATTCATCCGCCTTTTCCCCTCTTGCTCCTGAGCCGATGGCAATTCCCTGACATGAAGCATTCACTTATGAGTTTTCGGCATTCAGCTTCTAAAGCGTTTGGCAGCAGAGACGTCTGAAAACCGAGGTTTGACTGTATTTGCAAGTTCTGACTGCAGCATTGCTTAACCTCATCTTCGAACACCTTCCTTCCACCTCCCAACTCTCTTATTGCGGCACATCCTTGATCACGATCATGCTCTCTCTCTGCACTTGAGAGATGCCACCTCTTCACATCCCTCCTCACAGATTGAAGAAGAGCCATGCAGCTGAATCAGACCAAAGGGACTAGCCCAGCACCCACAACCAACCAGATGTCTCTTCTGGGAAGCCCCAAAACTGGAGATAACTGCAGCAGCCACACTCTTCTCACTTGTGATTCTCAGCAACTGGTATTATTCAGAGGCATATTACCTCTGACAGAATTGCTTCACAGATATTTTGTTTAAAAAGAATCTTGTAACATGATGATCAGTGAACCTGCTTTTCCTGTGCCAGAATCTTCTACTTCCCATGCACATGATCCAAAATAAATGCATATTCTTCCCCCTTTCCCTCTTCTCCTTCCATTGCCACCTCTTTCCGGAGTTGTTGCAGGGGAAGGGACTTGTCCTCTAGTGGAAAGTACCTTAGATAATTGTGGTGGAGCCACTGCTGTTCTCAAAGTTGGCAGGGCTGCAATGAGAGAGTAACCCTCAAACATTCATTATGGGAGTGTGAAACACTTACTGGGTTTTGAGAAAGCATTTTTGATGTGGTTCCTAATGTTACAAGTCCATCATAGAACCCAGATCCGGCTCTGGCCCTTCAGTCACATGACACAGATCTAGACTGTCCCCCTATATCCATAAGGACCTCCTTGCCTTGCTGCCTGTTTTAGAAATCGCCTCACAAGTTAATTGTGATCCTTTTGACCAGGTCGGGTTCCCATATCTCAGCTATGGAGACAGAAGCGAAGTCAATATCAGGCTGACTTACGGAGAAGCTATGTCATGGCTAGTTGGTGATTCTTTCAGTGGTGGTGTCCCTGCTCAGATTTTCTTTTTGCTTGTGTCAGGAGCCAGAGATAGGTCAGCCCAGTGACAGTGTCGTTAACTCTTTATTCAAAGAAACCAAAACAGTGCAGGCCTAGTGATCACAGCAACCTTTCCCAGTAGGTCTTGCTGCATTGAGGCAGTTGCGGGGACTTCCCCGCACTCTCTTAAGTCTCCTCCCTAGGTCCTTCCCCAGCAACCTGAGGCTCCTCCATCCTGCCTATCTTTGCTCTGTTCTTTTCATTCCTCTCCATGTTCTGGGAGACCAGCAGGGAGGGGAGCTGGTTGCAACAGGAGAGGGAGACTCCCTAGATTCTTCAGCTACCTCTTTACCTCTCTCCTCTCCAGCCTCTGCTTCAGCCTCAGGGTCTGAACTGCTCTCTGCCACAGCCTCTTCCTGCTCACTAAACCGTTGCCTCTTCAGCTTCAGGAGGAAGGTCCCAACTCCAAACTCCCGGCTTTGCTTTCCACAGAAATGGGCAATTCCATGCCCTAGGCTTGCATGGTCCTTGTTTCAGACAGACTCACAAAATGTTCCCCAAATCCCATCCCTGGCCCTCCCACCCACCTCACCGTGAGGGTGAGGGTAACTTACACAACTTTGCACTCACTAGAATTGCCTTGGCGGCCAGTTGTTCTGAGCTTTCTATGCTCCAGAAGCCCCTCTGAACAGATGCTTGACAGTTCCTGATTATCCAGACCAAGAAAAGCCATGGCAGAAGTCAGGCTGACAGTTCATAGCGAGTTGAGGGCTTCTCCGCATCAGAGACTGCAGAATTGGGGGCAAAGACCATGGGCAGTGGGTCTGAGGGATCCAGTCCCTACTCTTTTGTTTTCCCCAGTACTAACCTCAGGCTCCGGAAAAGCCTTGAAGAGCTGTGGCACAACTGCAACAAGAGAAGGACATGTGGACAAGTTAGTTCATCCCTTAGCAGCTTCCAAGATTATTCCAAGAGACTTCTCCTTAATTTCCCTGCTTCTACTCTTATTAAGTAGACACCTGTAGACACACAATGGACACCTGTAGTTAGTGGCTTTTAAGGGAGAAGTGAGAGATGTCACAATGGAGGGCAAATCATTGTTACCATGGCAACCCACCCACTTTGACCCTGGGCCAATCTTGTTTCTTCAGAACTTTGAGGCACCTGCTGTTCCGTCTGCAGCTTTGCTGAATTGTCTCTCTTCAGGGTTCATTTCATATCATTTTTCATTCAGCCACATATCTAAAGGGAGACAATCCCAACACCCCTTTAAATGCAGTAGAAGACTCCCAAGTCTAGGGATGTCCATAGCACAGGATTAGACAATCTGCTTGAGCTGTGATTTCCTGTGTTGCGGGGGGCTGGATGATGACCCTTAGGAGTAAATTTCTGTGATTCTACCTACCATTTTAACCAGGAAAAATGATTTTAAAATGTATTTTTTGTGTATGGAACTATTTCAGAAGGCCTCTCAAAAGTATGGGAATAAATTGAGCATGCTTTGCTAATTATTTTACCCAGGAGCAAAATGAACTGGAGGCGTTCTAACAACATAAGGCATATTCCACCAATTTCTTCATGTTCCTGGCCAGGCTGTTGCCATATAATTATCACTGCCAAACTAACAGTGCTGAAACTTTGCTGCAAAGAAACTGCAGTTTCATGAAATGAGGACGCATTATTATAACAATTCGGGGATTTGCTAAGTCTTCATTACATTGATAACCAGTTATTAAATGTCTTTAAGAAGCTTCAGTTTTTCACGAAAGATTCCAATACTTTGAAAAAAATTGTTTATGAGAACTCGCATCACTTAGAAACCTGTGGTGGGCGATGGACTTCTGAACAGGAGGCAACGTGGAACTGAAGAGGAATTCAAAATGTGGAATGGAAATGAGGAAGGTGAAACTTAACATTTTCAGTTTCTGAAATAAGAAAGGCAGGTGCTTAGCCGGCAATGGAATGTATGTTTTATTTTAGAAAATGTCTGTTCCACATTTCAATTCAAAAAAAGCCCCCCTCTCGTAGGTAGTTTCTAGAATCCTCCCCTACAAAAATACAGTTAGAATAAGATAAAAGTGATTAAGAATGTATAAAAACAGCTGCAAGAGGGGCATGAAACAATTGGGTCTGTTTATGAATACAGCGGGGACACAGGTGGCGCTGTGGGTTAAACCACAGAGCCTAGGACTTGCTGATCAGAAGGTCGGTGGTTCAAATCCCCGCGACGGGGTGAGCACCTGTTGCTCGGTCCCTGCTCCTGCCAACCTAGCAGTTCAAAAGCACGCCAATAAGTGCAAGTAGATAAATAGGTACCGCTCCGGCAGGAAGGTAAACGGCATTTCCGTGCACTGCTCTGGTTTGCCAGAAGCAGCTTAGTCATGCTGGCCACATGACCTGGAAGCTGTCTGCAGACAAATGCCGGCTCCCTCAGCCAATAAAGCGAGATGAGCGCCGCAACCCCAGAGTCAGTCACGACTGGACCTAATGGTCAGGGGTCCCTTTACCTTATGAATACAGCAGCCTTGACAGATTTAAGGCACTGCAGAATAAAAAAATTATATGTCAACCCCCCAAAAATCGAGAGAGCCCTCTTTCAGAAACTGCCTGGGTGATGCTACCAATAATACCCCACTTTCTGTGTTCTCATCAAGCTCATCTCCAAAGCTGGTGTAACAGAGGAGAGCTTCAGATTGTTATGAATTTGGAGGGTCAGTCTGGATCACAGAATCATAGAACTGCAGAGCTGGAAGGGACCCAAGGGTCATCTAGTCCAACCCCGGCAATGCAGGAATCTCAACTAAAGCATCCATGACAGATGGCCCTCCAACCTCTGCTTAAAAACCTCCAGTGAAGTATACTGTCCACCATCTTCCGAGGGAATCCATTCTTCTTGCTGTCAGAAAGTTTTTTCTGATGTTAGTGAGAATTTCCTTTCTCCAAACTTGAAGCCATGAGTTTGGGTCCTATTCTGGAGAAGGAGAAAATAAGCTTGCTCCACCTTCCTTGTGGCAGCCCTTTAGATAGTTGAAGATGGCTATCATATCTCCTCTCAGTCTCCTCTTATCCAGGCTAAACATATGCAGCTCTTTCATCGTTCCTCTTAAGACTTGGTTTCTAGACCCTTCATAATCTTGGTCACCCTCCTCTGCACATTTCCCAGCTTGTCAATATTCTTTGCACATTGTGGTGCCCAGAACTGGACACAGGACTCCAGGTGTGGTCTGACCATGGCAGAATAGAGTGATACAATTTTACTTCTCTTGCTATACTTCTGTTGATGCCCTGAATTTCTTCCAGTTCTTGGGATCCTGTATCTGGTGTAGTAGAATGTAGGAGAGCAAGCCTGCCAGACCAGTCCCTATGTCTAGGTAAGGGTTTTGGTTGACTAGTTAAGCATCACAATTAGCATCTGCAGAAAGTTACTCTGTGCCACAAAACAAATGGGTGGGCCTTCTCCCGGCCGCACACTGCCTCACCTAGCTGCTAAGTAGAACAATAGCCAGTGTGGGGTGTGTGAGCTAAGCTGGAAGCAGGCTGGAAGCTGAAGACACAGAGACATGCTTGCTTTGTCCTGGATCCAAAGCTTTAATTAATGGATCTGTTGGGGGTGTTAATGCTGTTAGCCGCTCCATGCTCTGGT